CGTCTTGTGGCTAGCTGGTCTGCTGAGCAATGACCCCAGAAAAGGGAGGAAGCTGGAGACCGCGTCCCTGTGGCCTAGCCTCTCTTGGTAAAGAGGGGCCTTGCGCATGCCTCATGTTTTCTGAAATGCTCTGGTCACTTCACGTGTGGAATCCCATGGTCCTCAGTGCAACCTTTAAGTAATAGCTGGAGTCCAGGCAACCCTGCTTATGGGCTGGTTGGAAGGGTTGTCAGCTTGATTGGTGCCCAGAGCCCAAATATAACTGCACTGAATTCTAACCTGCCCCTGCAGCTCTGGGACAAAGGACAAGCGCCTTAATAATAGTGTTCTCAGAAGCAGTGAAAACCTCTTTCTGGAATGCATTTGGAGCTCCCTTTTGGCTGGACTAGCTGAGGCAGAGTTCCCGGGAAGTGGTGGCACCACTGCAGTTAGCAGGAGAGCAGGACCCACTGCCAGGAGGGTTCTTTGGCTCCTGGGGAGGGGGCACAATGACAATGGCCCCCAGGAGCAGCCCTTTTTAGGAAACATGAGTGACACGTTTTAGGAGCTGCCGGACATAGAGGATATTTTGAAGTTATGTTATCAGCTAAACTGCTGCTAAAATAGTAGATGTTAGAACATTTGGGTTCATTTAATTAAAAATAATTACTGAGCACCCAGTAAGCACAGTGTGTCAGAGTCAGAAAGTCTTCGAGGCTGTGGGAAAACACTTAGCAAGAAGGACAGGGTCGTCCCTGCTTTCATGAAGCCTGCATTCCAGGCCTGACTACAAGAAGACGCAAGAGAATCTCCTTCAGGAAAAGTCTGTGAAGCCAGCAGATGGCGCCAGTGCAGGCAGGCAGGGCCGTCCTGTGCAAATGGCTCAGAGCTAAGGCGTAGGGAGGGGAAGGAAGGATCCTTGGGAACAGCCAGGGTAAAGATGGGCCAGGCATAGGGCACATGAAGAGCCTCGTCCTGAGGCGGGAATGAGAGACAAGGCCGCCTGCCCAGAGAAAATTTCAGGGAAAAAAGCAGTTTGCAGTGATGGGGTCAGCGGGGAAAAGCCAGCTAGAAAGGGCCTTAAGGGCCACGGTCACACACACGTCATTGAAAGGAAAAAAGCTCCTAAACCAAGGGGCTAGCAGAAGCCAAAATAAGGAACAGGGGACACAGTATTAGTTTCCAAACAGACCAATGATGCACTGAGGTTAATGATTAAAGAGAAGATTTGCTGTTCCTTTCAGCTTATGTTAGTGTCCAAGGCAACTGTTGGGCTGTAAGGTTGCATGAATTCCATGTTCTTAGGCGTTTTCCTACCCAGGTCTCGTCACCAAAATGTGGCCCATGGACCATGTTTTTCATGCCAGTATAAAACTCATATGAACTAGTGAATGCAATGGGACGGTAGATCCAGGGCCCGAAGGCCAGGAGTCAAGTTGAAGCTGACTGACTCCCTCTCCTGAACGACCTTGCTGAGCCTGTATGCTTATGCGTAAGAAATTCTTGCCACATAAGGCAAGTGGATATTAAGTAAGACAATGCCTTTTAAGTTTCCTTGCAATTTTAGAAAGCATTTTCCAAATATTTCTTATTACCTTTAACACGTGCATTTCTGGTTCATTTCTTGGCATTATTCTTTTTGAGTTAAACCACTAGAGGTCAGAATTTCACATAAATTGTTAAAAGAAATCACTAAACTAGAAAAAAATCACAACAAGAGCATCTTTTCTTTTTCAGCTAAGCAGCATAAAGTAATAAATTGAGGCATAGAAAGAAAAATAATGCTTATTTAAACAACATAGTTTTGATAATTGGAACAATGTCCCCCAAATGGTTACTCAATAGGGAGAAGAGGGAAAGATAAACAGAATTTGTGAGATATCTCTTTATGAAATCTATACAACATAAATTTATATTGATCATTTTATGTTATTTTTAAGGCAAGTCGGCTGAAGGTCCATTCTGAAAACAAAAAAGCCCAGTCATGGACATGACAACATGCTGAAGACCAAACAGATGGAATCCAACGCCTTTCTTTCCACTGAGTCAAGCTTAGGAAATAATACTGTAAAAAGGATGTCTGTATTTTGGACAAGAGATTCTATAACTGGGTAGTGTTATTGTTTTTCATCTGCAACGCTAAATAATTTATTTAGTTCCTATTCTCTTAAATGAATTTACATTCTTTTTACTGCCTGTTTCCCAGAGTATCAGAAATTTCTGAGCTCAGTGCCACAGTCCTAAGGGATACAGCAATGAGACAATTAGCCAGGGGAAAAAATAAAGACTTTGACTGAAGGAAAAAATATGTTGATCAAAAACCAAATAAATATGTTCCCTTAGCCATCAACACTTTTTTTAATTTTGTAGAGCTAAATATCCAAATCTGCCTTGTTTGGGGCTAGAGAGGGGCTGTTGTAGGACACAGGAAGGAATGAGGTCCAGTGCACAGTAGTCTATGTTGGACAGAGGGTTCCAGGAAATGTTTTTTGCTGTGTCTGTAACACCTAACCCAGTATCCAGAGCAGAGGAAAGGCAGCAATAAACATGCCCGATGCTGTTCCCTGTACGTGGGTAGGTGCTCTCAAAGGAAGAAACAAGCAGACTGAGTGCTGACTCCGGGAGTTTGCCATCTAACTCCAACCTTCATAATTAGATACAAGTCCTGAGATTGGTTCTTCATCTTAGCTTTAGACCCTCCTCATCTGGCATGATGGGTGGGACTTCCAGAATCATGGAATCTCCTCACTAAGAAGGGAATTTGGAATGCATTTGATGCAAAGCCTCCAGGTTCCAAGGATGAAGAGGGAATTGCACCTGAGTCCATAACAGACTTAGTTCTAGAACCCGGGGTTTGAAAGCAACTCTTCCTCTTCCCCAGTGCTCTCAGGTCTTCCTCCTGCCAAACTCCAGCTTGTAAAAACATCTCATAATCCGACATGGGATCGGAAGAGAGTTAAGGAGACTTCTAGGTTTCTATTGTTGGAAATCGTAACATGATTTCCAATGGGGAGAAAGGGGGTCTGTGGCAGATGAAGAAGGGGGATGAGAAGACTCATGGTGGAGCCAGGTATGGTGACACAGCACTCTGGGAGGCCGAGGCAAGAGGATTGCAAGTTCAGGCCCAATCTGGACAACTTAGTGATTTAGGAGACTCTGTCTCAAAAATGAAATGTTAAGAAAGGTCCGGGGTTGTACCTCAGTATCCTGGGTCCAATCTCTAGTACCATAAAACAAAAATGAAAAAGACCCCTGGTGGACCCCAAGACACCTGCAGGTGGACACCTGCTGATATACAACAAATATTGAATATGGACTGAAATCATAAAATCAAATAGGGTGGTTTCATGAAGTTTTTAAAGTATATTCTTTGCCTTTATCTTGGAAGCGGTTAGGAGTTTGACTTACACTTTGTAACCTCTCAAAAGCAAGCAGTGGGATCCTTTGCCTAAGTGCATGCTAAATATTTTCTCTTCTTGTTCTGTAAGCTCTGCTGTTCCTTGGAAAGTGCTCTTTCCCCATCTGCCTAACAGAATCATGTCTAAGACCCAACTCAATTTCAACCTTCTCAAAAAAACCTGCTCTGACCTCTGCCTCCCTCCTGAATTCCTTACCTCTCTGTTACTCCCGACACTAATATCATCTAATGCACCTGTTGTGCCCAAAATATTGCTTGATGCGTAAGTGCTCAGCTCATGGTAGCTGAATCAAAATGAATAGAAGTGTTAGATTGGAAAGCATTGTATTTTGGATATTCTTTTAACAATACTTTATCCAGTGTTTCAAACACTTTCAGTTTGAAAGTTGAAGTTTCTTCCAAAAATCCCATTTGCCTGACTAAGGCAAACATTCATTTTTAGTGTTATCCACAACACCGCAGGCATGACTCGGAGTTTCCTACACTCCATGGGAGTTCCAGCAAGGGTCTTAAGTAAACACTTTTTCTAACATAAACTTTCTTTTCTGAACATTTGCCCTCACGTTATTCATTTGTTCACCCCAGAAATGAGTTGGAAGCACCAACATCTCCTTGTTCCTCTCTGTATTTATTTTATAGCATCAAAGGTTAAAACTTGGATTGCACTCTTAGGAGGAAATTAATTCACTGACTAAAAAAACATGCACTTTAAGCAATACACATTTAAATAACTGACAAACATCAAGCTATGTATTTTTTATTTTATTTGGAAGGAACTTTTTTTTCTACTTAAAATTTTAAACAGCTGCAATTCCTCAACCTCATGCCTGGAGAAAAGGCATGAATTACTAATAAGAGTGCACCGGTCTACAGTGCAGTGACCACTTTCAGAGCAAAAGGGTAAGAGCAGAAACCAAGAAAACAGATTTTTTATCAACCAGTTGCTTGAAGCATGTTTGGACCTTGGACCTTGACTCTACTTGAAAAACTTTGCAATATTCTATCATTCTTCAGCTAAAGGCACTTGGCCTTGAAGAGTCTACTCTCAAATAAAGAAATCTTCATTTCTGTCCTACCTCCAACCCTTAACAACAGGATTTCCCAGCTTCTTTATTGGCACCCAGGAGCCCAATAATTGTGAAGTAAAAGTTTACTTAAGATTTAATTTTTACTTTATTGACCTTTAACTGCCCGAATCCGTATGAGAAGGACAAAAGGAAAACAACGCAAGAATAGAAACAGATGGTCTTAAAGAAAGCATTCCTGAAGATGAACACCTTCAGTGCCCATCTTCCTCTGGGGCCTGGTGGGAGAGGGAATTTCCCCCCAACCCTGGGTGACTTTCATCAAATTCCCACCCCAGGGTCCCATCTCCTCCCAGCCTTCTCTTACTAACTTCCAGGGAAAGCTTTAAGTAAGAAATACACTTGATCTTAGCCAAAAGGAGGAGCAGCAATTTTAAGTAAGAAACAGACTGTTGATTCTACCAAATCAAAGGGAAGTGGGAGGAAGCTAGGGGGGCAAGAGGAGACAGGTTAGGATGGGCTGAGAGATGGGGAGAGATCATATTTATTACACAAAAATGTGGATTTCCTTTCCTCACCTTTGGGTCCAGTTGAAATGGTGTGGGTGGTACAGACTTCTGCAGTCGGGCGACTATCAACATCCAGACCCAGACTCTGAATTTGCAGGAGAAATAGCAGCAGGAGGATGAACTGGTTGCTTTGAAGCAAAACTCCAGTGCCATTCATTTTTGCATCTCCTTAGAAAAGGGTCTCCCAGAAATGCCAAATCAAGAGCTTTCTTTGAAATTGTGCTGCTGCAAGGAAGAAAGGGAAAGATCTGGTGCACATATTCCAGAAAGGGTTACAAATGAGAGAAGGGAGCATTCCCCAACTTGTTTATTTTCTCAGTATCTCAGATGGACCATACATTGTCCAGACTATTTTCAAATGACAACAGTTTATTGAAAGTTATCTCTGAACTAAACACTGAAGTGTGTGGGTCAGTAGAGACATCCCTGAGAGCAGAGAGGAGAGAGATGCTTTTTGCTTGGTACTTGAGCTGACAATTCAGCTTCCATGGCATTTTGATGCTGGGTTCCAGAACTGTGAAGGGGAGAGATTTCTGTGCAGGTTACGCAAGCACTATGTATGGCTTCCGGCTTTCTTTCTTTCTTTTTTTTTTCTCTTAAATTCTTTTATTGGTACATTTTAGGTATACAATACATTTACATTCACCATTGGGAACTTGTACCTTTACATGATATATCTTGGTTCTTATTTTTTTCCCCTTCCCCTGCCTTCCCTTCAACCCCTCCACCCCTCCCTATTTGCAAAAGCTTTGTTTCTATTTATCTCTTATCTCATAATTTTTCCTTTCCATTCTTTCTGGACTTTCTGTAAAGTGAATCCATTATATGACGTGGCATTGGGCCACAGACACTCCGGTGCTCCCAGGACATAGCCCTTCACTTGCTTCCACCGATACCTTGGATTAAACCCACAGAGAAAGAGTAGGCAGGTCTTGTTTGCAAAGCAATTTGGCAATAATTGTTAAAATATTAGAAATCTTTATAGCTTTTGACTTTGACATCATCTATCTGGCACAGTATCACCAGGAAATGTTTGGGAAATTGGACAAAACTTTGGAAAATACAACAAAAAATGGAATTCAACAATCCATTAATGACTGGCAATTTATCATAAATAGAAATTTAGGAGGGAGTATGATGTGCTCGCTTTATTAAAATGGTGTTTATAGCAAGTTTTTGATAAAAATGCTGAAAAACCTTGTTATATTTCTTTAAAAAGCAGAGTAGATATAGGTATATAGATCTGACATAGACATAGATATGGACATTGAGATCTATCTATCTATCTATCTATTCCCCACCCCACAGCCTATATGAATAACCTAAACTCAGTAACATACTGGAAGATTAGAATTAGAATTATTTATATTGCAGAGCTACTTATCTTTTTTTAATCCTTGAAAATACATACTACCTAAGAGCTGGGTGGAAAAGATTTTTGACCTACTGTTCTTTAACATGGAAGATTGGGACCTGATTAAGGGTTAGTTCCTAAGAGATGCCACTACAAGTAATATTCAATCGAAGAATTTTAGGTGTGTTACTTTCCCAGGGCTGCCATAGAGAGGATCAGAGTCTGAGTGGCTTAATCAACAGAGATTTGTTCTGAGGTACTGGCATTCAGGACTTCAGCATACAAATTTTAGCATAAGAGGGACACAATTGAATGCATAAAACAGACTTATGGTATGGCCAAGCTGGTGTCTTCATGAGCAATTCAAGGAGAGTGAGGAAAGAGTTGGCATTGACTGAGAGTCATTAAGTACAGGCTGATGCTGGTGTCAACTTAAGTTCACCTGTTTAAGCCTCAAAACAGCCCTGTGGTATAGAGAGTAACTCTCTGTTTTGCACTCAAAGGAGCAGAGGTTCAGAAAAAGTTAAACAGTTTGTGTAAAGTCATCCATTGAAGAAATAAATTAAATATAAAGTACTTCCAAAACTTTCTGTCCTTAAAATACTATTTGGTTTCATCAAAATCAATATTCCCAAGCTTTGAGGGTGCACTACTTTTCACACATGCTTAAAATGTACCAACTGGATACTTTGTCAGTTTAACGGTGATAAGAAAATAGTGAGAATTAAAGCAGTGATGTCAGAAACCTTCAATTCCACATCTGTGATGACCAGTTGTGAGACACAGAGCAAATCACTCCATTTCAATCACCACAAGACATAGAGAGTGAGTTTGGACTACTATCTCATGTTCTTTTTGAATTCTTTGACACTGAAATTGATGCTCTTTAAATTTAGATTACTCTATATCCATCTCTTGTCTTTTGTTTCTTTTCAGTCACTCCCTGGAACACAGCGAAAGCAGAATCATCACATTTATACCTAGAAATTCACTGGTTGCCCTACCGAGGTCCCCAGTTGCACGGAACATACCGAATCACCCCGCTGCAGACAGGCAGCCACCTGGTTCCACACTACAAAGACTCAGAGGACACCAGACCACCAGACCAAGGTACTGAGTCCTGCTGCTCCTGGCCCAGAGGTAGGGGCTTCCCGGCCACCATCCCTCCCACTGCTCCCAGC